AGAGACTTATAGTTAAGCCGAAATGATGCCAGTATTATAATATATATAAACATCTCAGGGCAGAAGCTGATGGCAGCTGTTACACAGAAAATTTCCTTTAAAATAGAGCACAGAAGTCCAAGAGTACTTCTCAGGGGAAAAAAACGAGTATTGTATGATTTAGCTTTGTGTAATAACACTCATTGGTATATATATAATTTCAGGAGAGCTAAAAATAACATGATCACATCACATGGCCATAAAATACAATAACACAGTCAGAAATAGCAAAGATTCAAACAGTGTGAGAGAAGGGAGAAAAGACGGGTATTCTTTACAAAATGCAAATAAGAGATACAGCCTAAAAAGATATTTAATAAGCTTTAAATCTAGAAAAATTAAAGAATATAATTCAACTTGGATTATATTTGTCTTTATACCAACTCAGTTGTAGAATACTGCATGTGTGCGTGCATGCGCATGTGTGTGTGTCTGTGTGTGTGTCTGTGTGTGGGTATGCATTTAAGGGAGAAAGAAGCCCAGGAAGGCAAAAGTACTTAGGGCCCAGGAAAGTTATAATGCAACACTGAGTCCAGGAAGTCCAGAGGAGGAGCCAGCAGGGTCCCAGGGACCTTGAGCCCACAGTTAATTTCCAACCAGCACAGAAATATCAATATTTTAACAATGCTATATCCAAACCAGTGCACAGGATCCTAATGGTAAGATACACAGATCCTGCCATTATTGGGAATAACTGTTAAAAAGATACAGTTTATTTTTTTTTTTTTACTATGAAATAACACATGTATCCCTTGCAGTCAATTTGCAATGCCTGCCAACTTTAAAACATAATTCTCTATTAAAAATGTCTTCAGCTTTCTACCGCTGAATGAACTGAACTATACAACAATTTTTGGCTTAAAAATACTCATGTATCTGGAAAGATAACTCAAAAGGCTGCCCCGTTTAGAAAAACAAAATGGCACGTCACACTTGATACTGACAACCAGGTATACCCAGCAAGTAGCTGCACAGCTAGGAAGAGTCATTAACCTCCAAGATGCTCCCTGAAGTCCACTGAGGGCTTGGTCACCTGACTCACAATCTTTGGTCCCACCCTTCCATCCTGCCCTCTTAAAGGCCGATTTCAACACCCATCTTTAGGATCTAGCCAACATTCTGACTTACCATTCCTTCACTTTCTCAAATCAATGAATTCGATTCTCTCTCTCTAGAAACTGACTTCCATGGCCACACACCAGACTCTGTCATTCCCAAGAACTGCCTTACTCTGAAATAATAAATTCCAATATATCCCTTTTGATTATTGCCTATTATTCTTCAACTCTCTCTCTCCTTTACTGCTCTCATATCTGTTCTTTTTTTTTTTTTTTAATCGACTGTTTCATCCCTTTGACCCTTCAACTTCCTGAGTTTGCCGGTTCCTGACTGAACTAATTCTTTTCCTTTCTCATTCTGAACATGTTAAGTCAACCTCCGTCGCTGTCCTCAGCCCACTTCTCCTTTGTCATGAATGCTCACATACCAAAGAGCCAGTCATGGACCCATCCCCTGATGTATATTTTTTGCCACTTTTCCTCTGTTCTGATTCTTGGGGAGAAGGTGGAAAAGCTTTAGAGAGAAGATGTCTTTCATTGAACTTGAGATGAGCTGTAGTAAGCATTCAGTGTAAGAAAGAGGCAGAGTTCAGAAGAAATAGCTTGCAATTCTCTTCCATTTCTCTTCTTGGAAATAACTTCATAGCGTCCTAATCCTCTCTTTCTCCTTACATATGTTTAGAGCTATGGCGTGATAACATGCATTCCCTTTACTTCCTATAATGCTATCCTTCTTTACACAAATATAAATTAAGATGTGGCACAATAACAAAAATTAATAAAGCCTCAATTCATAGACAATATTTGAAATAATATGAATCCAAATATTTTCAGATTTCTTTAAAAATTGAAAAACTGTAGTGGTAATAGGCTGAATGAATGCTGAACTGTGCTTATGCTGAGGCCAAATGGTGACGTCTCTAGCAAGTAAACAAATATCCTCCCTCCTTTGTTGGTATTTTGTGAATCATGTATTTGTTTATGTGCATGGTAACTTCTATATTAGTGTTCAATCACTATTCTTCTGCTATTTAACTGTCCACTGTTATTAAAATTTAAAATAGTTTTGTATCCAATAACAACCGAATACAAGCATTCATTAAATGTGGGTGTTAGAAGCAGTGCTAAAAACATGCCTCAAAATCAATTACTTTGGCATAGAAGTTAGAAGTGAACGAACAATGCTGCAAATTAAGGCAAATAACTTCCATGGTATGCAGTGCTGTTAATGTGGAAACAAGCAACATGGGAAATACTAGAAATAATGCTGAAAAAATAAAAAATGCAGATATATAACATAATGGTTAATGACTTATGTGCCCTGAGAATACAACCCACATTCTTTATATTTATAATATTTAGTCCCTTGAATTTTGTGAGTTTTTAATTAGGTGCCCTGCAACTGCCTTTTACTTAAACATAGAGCCAGATCCCATATAAATAAGAAAATAGACCTGAAATACACTTTTAAATAATATGTTTTTTCCTTGTGGTTTTTCTGATTATAAATGATCATGTTTGTTGCACAGGAAAATGTAAAAAAGTGTAAAGAAGAAAAAAATCACCTAGAATTTCAACACTTAATGGTCAACTTTACTAGCATTTTGTAGTTTCTCCAGTTTTTAAAAAATGTTCTCTATATTTTTATATAGTTTAGATAAAATATATATGCAATTTTGTATCTTAATTTTTTTTTTTTTTTTTTGAGTTGGAGTCTCACTCTGTCGCCCAGACTGGTGTGCAGTGGCATGCTCACGGCCACCCCTGTGTCAACCTGCTGGGCTCTGGCAATCCTTCTGCCTCAGCCTTCCAAGTAGCCGGAACTACAGGCGTGAGCTACCACACCTGGCTAATTTTTTATTTATCGTAGAGATGAGGTTTTGCCAAGTTCCCTAGGCTGGTCTTGAATCCGCGGGCTCAGGCAATTCACTTGCCTTGGCCTCCCAAAGTGCTGGGATTACATGCTGAGCCACCGAGCCAGTCAAAATGTTTTTCTTAACTTTAAATTAAGACTTATTAAGAAAATCTATGATAGTATAAAGGCTGTACAATATCTCATCATATTATGATATAACATATTTGATTAAAAGTACTAAACATTTAGGTACTTTCCAAGTTTTGCTATTATAAATAATTCAGTGATGAGTATATTTTATCCCTGGTTTGAATTGTTTTTCTTTGGTGGACACTTCCTAGAAGAAGAATTATTAGGTCAAATAGTATTTTTTAATGTTGCCAGTTTTATTCACAGGATAAAAATCTTATTGCTTTAATTAACATCTTTTATTATTTGTAAATTGGGTATTTTCCCTATATTTACCAGTTAGTTAATTATATTTCCTACTTTGTAAATTGTCCTTTGCTCATTTCTCTAAGGTCCTTAACATTTTTCCTGCCAATATGTATGAGTTTTGTATATATTAAGCATATTTATCCATCAGCTACCATTATTTTCTGTTTTGTGGCTTAAATGCTATTTTTTAAAGAAGAAAAAATAAATCAGAAAATAACGCTTAATAAAGGTGATGTCCTACATCCTTTACTTCTCTATATTGCCTATGCTACTTTTCAAAAAAATGTCTGATTTTTCTTGTCTCTTCTTTCAAATCAGTCTTGGTATTTTAGAATTCTGATAGAAAATAAAATCCATTGGGGTTTTAATTGTGATTATACTAAATTTATAAATTCGATTACAATGAGTTTAGTTTTCCATTGGTAGCGATTCCCTGTTCTTGAGATTTCTGCCTCCGTTATGTTTTGCCTCCTATTTTGAAACAAATAAACAAACGTGATAGCTACCATTTCTTCTTGTGGTCTCTCATGGGATGTCGTCAGGTGGCAGCCAGAGCTGGAAACCAGGCCCAGTTAAGCTAATGTCCATGACAGCTTTCTCACTCACAAGTCAGAATCTTTTGTGTTCTTCCCCACATCCTCTCCCTTCAGCAGAGTGGCCTGGAATTTTTACCTGGGGGCTCAGTGCTGCCAGAGGTGGAAGCAGTCTTCTTAAAGCTAGGCTTGGAACTGCCACACAGTCACTGTTGCCAGGTTCTACTGAGCAAATCAGCCACATGCTCACCTCTTGATGGGAAAGCGGCCTGGCCTGTGCCAAGAGGAAGGTCTGCCATCTTTGAAGATAAACCGCCACATCCTCTTTTATTTATCTTGGATACATTTTCCTTATAAAGTATTCTGAATTTGTGTTGCTATAATCATTTGTACTTTTTAATTTTATAATTTATTAACTGATTGATTAGTGCTGAGATGAAGAAAAGTTATTGTCTTATCCATTCTAATTTCTTCTAGGTTCTAATTTCTTCTAGGTTCCGCTAAAGTAGATAATTACACTATTTGAAAACCAAGACTTTTTTCTTTTATCAATAGTTAAGTCTCTTATTTCTATCTCATGTCTACTGTACTGGTTAAGACTTTCAAAACAAAGTTAATAGGAAGCAGTCTTGTTTTGCTTCCGTTGCATAATTTTTAAAGTACAAATATATTCAAGTTATAAAGTGAACATTTTTTATTAGCATTCACATCTCCCTGAGCTAAATTAAGCCACTTACTTTTATGTGTTGATGCAATAAAAATGAATAGAAAAGTAGATTACTATCTCAGATAAATTGAATCCAGGGATAGAAACAAGAAAACAGGATGGGAAAGAAGGTGACATATATTTTGGATACTGTAATATTTTCTTCCTGAAATCTATAAACTTCCAAAATAAATCATAACCATAAAAGAGTCTATTGATTCCCATAGACGGCTAATTTATCTCTAAATAAATATAAAATGTTATAAATCTCAGCAATTTCTCCTGTCTTCCCAAGTTCGACTATTTATACTAGATGTAAAGAATCACTTTAAGTACGTAAATAAAGATTAGAATGTGGCTCTTGTACTCACACGTGGTTGATAATCATGTGGTGGAGCAAATTCTTCAGAGTAAGTGGTCAATGCACACCTAAGAGGGATTTGAGAAAAAAATGACTTCAAAAAGAAAAATACTTTAAATTTTTAGTGGTGTGTACTTCACATGAAATAAAAGCATCTCAGGAAGGACTGGTCCTAATTAAAATTTTAAACCCCTCAACTGTTCCAGGCTCTCTATATAGTATTACCCACCACAGGGTACTCCCTCCTTCAATTACAGCAGTCTTCCTTATCCTTGGAAAATACATTCTAAGACCCCCAGTGGATGCTTGAAATTTAAACCATTCCTCACAGTGTTATATGGATGGAAGGACTGGGCTAAAGGGGACTGGTGACTAACATGACTAACATTTAGGAGCTTGCTTTACAAGATGTCCACTTATAGGACTATAGCGCTGGCTGAAACCAGACAAAACCAATATGACTGACTGACTGGAGCTTGTGCAGAGAGCTGCTTGCCCGCTGGTGACCTTTCCACATCACAGCTCAAATTTCCACCATGTGTTTCATGCTAACTCTGTGAATTTGCACATGCAATCCATGAAAAGGCATGCCCCTAAAACTTTCCATCCTGTTCCCTTGTTTCTGCCAATCACTAATGGATAGGAAACACTTTCCCGAAAATCCCTTCCTTAAATAAAGGACTTTGAGGCCGGTAGAGGGAGACATATTTGAGTCCAACCTCCGTCTCTTTGCTTGACCGCCTTGCAATCAACCTCTTTCTCTACAAGCATCCAGGGCTTCAGTGTTTGACTTTCTGTTGCACCTGGGCAAATGGATCCAGATTGGTTCCGGTACAAAACCTTGGACGGAGACCGATTGCCGTCAGTTGGAACACATGTCTGTTCACGTCTTCTACCTACACATTTAATGGCTTTTCCATCTTAGCAAAGCACTTATGCACTGTGGCTATCAGTCGTATAGTGTGAGGTGTGGCAACAAAACTAGCATGAACTGTTCCTTCTTTACAACTGCATGGATAGAAGATTCGTTCATACTGTAGATCTTAGCAACCTCAGCATATTTTTTTTTCATTCCTTAAGAACTTTCACCTTTTCACGTAAAAGAAGCACTTTGCAACTTCTCTTTGGCATATATGAACTACCAGTAGCACTACTCTTTCACTTTGGGGCCATATTAAGTAAAATAAGGATTACTTGCACACTAGCACTGCTATATCCAGACAGTCAATCTGATAACCAAGATGGCTAAGTGAATAAAGGCTGAAGAGGGAGAGTAACAGCATGGAGATGCTGGACAAATGAAGAATTCACATCCTGGGCTGGACAGGGCCAGAGGCACAAGAGTTCATCATGCTACGTGCAATTTAAACCTTACAAATTGCCCATTTCTGAAAATTCCTATTTAATATTTTTGGACTGTGGCTGACCCTGGATAGCTAAAACAAAACAGAGATAAAGAGGAACTACTGCACTCCCAATTTCGCCTACACTCTCCTGCACTAATGATATTTGTGACTACCCTGTCCCAAGTCCCTGAGCTCAGGCGTTCTGCATTTCAGGGATTCTCTTTACTACTCATTTCCTGCCCCCGAAAACCTTTAGATCCCGGGTCCCCAACCCCCGGGCTGTGGACTGGTACTGACCATTACCTGTTAGGAACCAGCAGCACAGCAGGAGGTGATTGGCTGACAAGAGGAGCTCTGTCTTCTGTCAGATCTGCCAAGGCATTAGATTCTCATAGCATCACAGATCTCACTGTGAACTAGCACAGGAGGGATCTAGGTTGCTGCACTCCTTATGAGAAACTAATGCCTGATGATCTGAGGTGGAATTTCCCCCCTCCCACCCCCATTCGTGGAAAAATTGTCTTCCACGAAACCGGTCCCTGGTGCCAAGAAGGTTGGGGACCACTTCCATTCTTGGTAACATTGTGGGGCTAGGTGGACAAAGAAAACTATTGAGTATAGGGGTAAAAGGATTTTTTTTTTTTTTTTGAGTTGGAGTCTCCCTCTGTCGCCCAGACTGGAGTGCAGTGGCCACTCCCGGCCACCGCAGCCTCGACCTGCTGGGCTCCGGCGATCCTTCCGCCTCAGCCTTCCGAGTAGCTGGAATTACAGGCGCTCGCTACCACGCCCAGCTAATTTTTTGATTTTATTGTAGAGATGAGGTCTCGCCTGCCCAGGCGGGTCTCGAACCCGCGGCCTCAGGCAATCCACTCACTTCAGCCTCCCAAAGGCGCGGGATTACAGGCTGAGCCACCGAGACCGGTTTGGTAAAAGGATTTTTAAGAGTTTTACTACATGACTGAGCTGGTGTGAAGGAGGCTACAACAAAAATTCCAAAATAACAAGTTCAATTTAGACAGGTTATTAGATACAGGTGCTAGTATTGACCCTGGTGGTAACTACCAATTCTTGCTAGGCTCTCAAGGTGTCGTTTCCAGAACAGTAGCAGCAGCAACACCTGGGGATTTGATTGAAATGCAAACACTTGGGACTTGCCCCAAGCCAACGAAATCTGAAACTCCAGAGTTGGGGACCAGCAAATTGTAGCCTAAGCCCTCCAGGTGATTCTGATGTACACTAGAATTTGAGTGTTGATTATTAAAAGAACAAAAACTGGAAGTGTAACTTTTTTTTTTTGAGTTGGAGTCTCACTCCATCGCTGAGGCTGGAGTGCCATGGCACACTCACGGCCACTCCAGCGTCGACCTGC